AAAGTGACTACGCCATACAAACCACCTCACATTAGAGCCAACTCAGAGATGCTTAACCATTCATATATGAAGGGCCTTGAACATCACTTTCAGGTTGTTCAAAGGATTTTACTGGAATTCATAGCAGCTCCTGGATCATCTAGCATCCACAAAACCCCTAACTATCTCCAGTTCTACATTTCTATATCCTATTGTAGTTGCTCAAAGGAATTACTTATGAAAGAAATATGCCTTCTAAGTAGAAGAGCTCAACAATTCTGTAATTAGAAAATGAAGGAAAAAATTTTCAGTTTTCTAAAAATGTATTAAAACTGAAAAAGATCAACTAATACTCATGTCACTTAATAAGAATACGATGGGATTGAAGTGCACAGTGTCCTGTCTGCACAGAAGCGTTTCAGGTATTTCAATAGATGAGTGCTTCACACATAACTACAGCACACAGACACCCTCACACACACACAAAAGTAACAGAAGGCGTGTGCATTTAGCCTAGTGGCTAAGCTACCAGTTAGGAAGCCTATATCCCTTACAAGGGTGCCTATTTTCAATTCCCAGCTCATATTCCTGATTCTAGCCTCCTTCTAATGCAGACCCTGGGAACCAGTGGTGACAACTCCAGTAGCTGGGTTCCTGCCACCCATGTGGGAGATGTGGACTGAGTTCCTGGCTGCTGGCTTACATCTCAGCTACTGCAGGCATTTTGGGAGTGAGGAAGCAGATGGGAGCTCTCACTCTGACTCTCAAATAAATAAATTGATTCATTTTTAAATTTTAAAATAGAACAAAAATATTTTATCAGCCAAGAATGTCCACAAATTTGCAGCTATAAAACCACCCTTCCTATGACAGTTTGTCTGAATTCTCCAGTTATTTTCTTTAGAAAGAGAAAAGAGAGCTTTGGAGCACCTTAATAAAAATAAGCATCCCAGGGATTCATGAGCCTGGGTTAAAAGAACACTCTGCTGATGTACAATTTGGGACATGCTCAAGCTGACTTGCCCCAAACAGTAGAGTTAGAAACATACCAGGAGATTCCAATTCAATCCCATCAAGGTGGCATGTACCAATGCCATCTCACTAGTCAAAGTGATCAATTTCAGTTCACAATTGATCATAATGATAGGACTAAGAACCAAAGGGATCACATAAACAAGACTAGTGTCTGCAAATACTAACTGATAGAATAAAAAAGGGAGAGAATGATTCAACATGGGAAGCGAGATACACAGCAGACTCATAGAATGGCGGATATCCTAAACAGCACTCTGGCCTCAGAATCAGCCCTTAAGACATTTGGATCTGGCTGAAAAGCCCATGAGAGTATTTCAAGCATGGAAAGCCAAGACACTCTGGGGGAAAAAAAAGGACCTAAATGAAAGATCTCCGCGAGTGAGATCCCAGTAGAAAGAACAGGTCATCAAAGAAGGAGGTACCTTTCTCTGAAGGGAGGAGAGAATTTCCACTTTGACTACAACCTTGTCTAAATATGATCAGAGTCGGTGAACTCAAAAGGCTTCCATAGCCTTGGCAACTCATGACAAGAGCCTAGGGAGATTTCTGATGCCATAAACAAGAGTGTCAAATTGTTAAGTCAACAACAGGAGTCACTGTGCACTTACTCCTCATGTAGGATCTCTGTCCTTAATGTGCTGTACATTGTTATTTAATGCTATAACTAGTACTCAAACAGTATTTTTCACTTTGTGTTTCTATGTGGGTGCAAACTGTTGAAATCTTTACTTAATATGTGCTAAACTGATCTTCTGTATATAAAGAGAATTGAAAATGAATCTTGATGTGAACGGAAGGGGAAAGGGAGCGGGAAAGGGGAGGGTTGCGGGTGGGAGGGAAGTTATGGGGGAGGGAAGACATTGTAATCCATAAGCTGTACTTTGGAAATTTATATTCATTAAATAAAAGTTAAAAAAAAGAACACTCTGCTGTTATGTTCTTTGTTCTCTTATCAAAGACACACAGTTTTAAGTAACTATCTAGACCTATACTGTACTAAGAATACAGCAATCATTAAGACAAATAATTCCCTACCTTCAGAGAGATTTCACTCTAGTTTTAAGAATTTCCTGTTTCCTTATCTGTTTTTTCTTAAGTCAGTTACCACTGCTTTCTTACACGGTGAAAACACAACATCTTTGAGCCGCATGGTGATAAGTGGGACAGAATAAAAATTGTTCACTACACACCCTGAGGGCTTCTCTTATGGCTCCTCGAAGAACTAAATGAGCACTAAGACACAAAAGGACTGAGAGAAAAATCAATGCTGCCATCACATGAGGAAAAACAAGACTCCATACAGGTCGCTACCTAGTTGATCTAATTTGATCTACTTTTAGGCTGATACATTTGGAAAACAGGATCCACACAATGGAATTATGCCATAGAGTCATTATGTCATGGGTTTGGCTAATCCACCAAGGACATCAGGCTTCCTACTGAGGGAAAGCACAAAGATAAGAAAAATTCAACACAAGGTGTGTGATAATGAGTGCACATTCAAACACAACACAGTTTTCTATGAGGAATTTTCCTCAGTGTTAGACTGAACATTAAAAATATTATTAAGATCTTTTTATTTAATAAAGAGCAGTCTTTCCATACTACAGAATGTCCATAATAGAGAATTCTATGTAATCATTACAAATTGAGAGTAGATTAATAAGGAAAATGCTCAACTAAATACTATCAGAATAAAGAAAAAAAAGAGAAGTAGATTAATACATATGATACTCTTAACATTTTGTAAAATTTATTTCATTTATTCTAAAGCCAGAGACACAGAGAGGGGACTGGGGAGTGGGAATGACCTGCCCGTGGCCTGTGGCTGGATTACTCCCGACTTGGGCTCCACAGCTGAGGTCAGAGCATGGAACTCAGTCCAGGTCTCGCAGTTGGGTGGCAGAGACCCAAGCATTTGAGCCACCACCCACTGCCTCCCAAGTGCACATTTACAGGAAGCTGGATCAGAAGTGTAGACAGATCTTGAACCCAGGTATTCTGACATGGGACATGGGCATCCTAAGCAGTTTTCCCAACCACTACACCAAATGCCTGGCCCTGTGATACTGTTCTCTGTTTTGCTTTGTTTTGTTTAGCCTCACAAAGCTATATTGCACTTTTTTTTTTGTAATATTTCACTTCTAACCATCTTTTTAAAATATATAAAAATACAAAACCAGGTAAGAATGACTATATTTCTGAGAAGATAAGAATTTAGCGTTATGTAGCTTTTGTACACACTTGATCTTAGCCAAAAGTCTGAGAAGCAGTAATGTAGTTTTTTTAAAAGAGGGCAAGAATTTAGCCTAGCAGCTAAGATGTCCATGTTCTTCAACAGAATACCTTGGTCAAATTCCTGGATCCAACTCCTGATTCTAGCTTCCCATTAATGCATACCTGCTAATGAGCCTTGGGAAAGCAGCGGACAGTGGCCCAAGTACTAGGGTTCCAGCAATTCACGTGGGAAACCTGGATGGAGTTCCAGGCCCCTGGCTCAGTCTTGGCAGACATTTGGGGAGCAAGCCAGTAGATGGAAGATTCTCTCATCTCTTTTCTCTCGTGCCTCTCTCTCTCTCTCTCTCTCTCTCTCTCTCTCTCTCTCTCACACACACAATTTAGCTTTCAAATAAATAAATAAACTTATAAAAAATAGTATGGAACTTAATAAACAAACCCAAACAAATGAATACAAATGAGTAAGATCTGTATAGTTTAAGCCGGCGCCGTGGCTCAATAGGCTAATCCTCCACCTTGCGGCGCCGGCACACCGGGTTCTAGTCCCGGTTGGGGCGCCGGATTCTGTCCCGGTTGCCCCTCTTCCAGGCCAGCTCTCTGCTATGGCCAGGGAGTGCAGTGGAGGATGGCCCAGGTGCTTGGGCCCTGCACCCCATGGGAGACCAGGAAAAGCACCTGGCTCCTGGCTCCTGCCAGGATCAGCGTGGTGCGCCGGCTGCAGCGGCGGCCATTGGAGGGTGAACCAGCGGCAAAAGGAAGACCTTTCTCTCTCTGTCTCTCTCTCTCACTGTCCACTCTGCCTGTCAAAAAAAAAAAAAAAAAAAAAAAAAAAAAAAAAAAAAAAAAAGATCTGTATAGTTTATACCCTACTTGTGATAGTAAGAAAAAAGTTTTTCAAATGTTGCCACTGGAGGAAAGTGGGTTAAAGTATACAAGGAATATGCTCAGGAATATATCATTATGTCATTAACACATCAACAGAAAATTCACATTACCCATGTTAATTCTGAAACAGGATAGTGATATCATCTAGCAATATAGGAAGAAGTAATGCAGTATTTCAACATCTTCATTCTAGTCATTCTAAGACTTCATAACAGTGGAACTGGTAGATCTTACTGATTAAATTAAAATTTTGGGAGGGATTGTTTCAAGCCAGAGATGATCATTTTTGAGGTAGTTTTCAATGACATAGTGCTTTGAAATGAGAGCCAGATCATCCTAGCCAGGCACATGATAAACATGGGTGGAAGGAGAGTCAGGAAGAGGAAGAAAAAATCAGTTTTTTTGAACTACAACTTTTCAAACTAGGATGCTTAACAATTCCATCTTAACACTGACTTAATACTAGAAATTTAGGCCAATTAATTGGTAAGATAACTGGAGAATAATGGTGATAATTATGGGATGCACCAACATTTATCTAACAATTACACTAATCATAATAGCCATTATTTAGCAAGCACATAATATGTGCCTGGCATTGTGCTAGAGTCTTTTTGTCAATGACTAAAATTCCTCACAGCAATCTTAGGTGAAACACAGCCTCTGTTGGATCTCATGTACTTGATTCAAGGTCACATAACTAGAAAGTGGCGGAATTTGACTTTGAACTGGGTTTCTGTGGTTCTAAGGCTTGTGTGTGTTTCACTGCTCTACATGCACAGTCAAGAAACACCTGACATTATGGAACACATCTGCAGGCTAGGGGTGGTAGGAGTAGAAAATGAGGGCGGATGAACACTGACCTGCTTGTAGGTTCCATCCAGCAAAGTGTCCAGGTGCTGGAGTGGGGCGGGCGTCTTATCTTTGAACCTTGCTAACAGCCGGCGCTGAATGGCCCGGAACTGTACAGCTCTTTCAGATAGGAGTTCCTCTAACTTTTCACCATTTTTCCGCAGCTACAACAAAGAATTTCTTAAATTCAGGTCAAATAGGCACAGCTAAATGTATTTAAAGTACGAATACAGGGAATAACAATTAAAATTTTGAAAAAGCCATAAAGGATTTCAATTTTTTTTTTTTTTAGAGTCAGAGAGACACACAGAGAAAAAGGAGACAGTGAGAAACATAGAGAGAACTCTCATCCACTGTTTTATGACCCAAATGCTTGAAATCATGAGGGCCAAACCCTGGAGTCTGGAATTCAAAGCAGGTCTTCGACACAGGTGGCAAGAACTTAATTACTGCTGCCATCCCTGGAATCCCCAGGTCTGCATTAGCAGAAAGCTGGAGTGAGAAGCTGGAGCTGAGTACTGAGTCTAGAATTACAACATGGCACGTAAGCATCTCCGCCAGCATCTTATCTAAATAGCCACCCCAAAAAGGGAATGAGGAAATTTAAGTGCACTACATACTTGAATTAAAACAATGTGACATGTGGTACATGAAGACATAGATAACACAGTGAAATAAATCAAATGGGAATGCAGTAAAGGTGACCCCATCACAGTGGGGAATGATGGAATACTCAATAAATGTTTCATGACAACTTTTTACATAGAGAAAAATATGAATTTTCCCCATTTTTTACAGCAAAATAAGTTGCACAGAGATCAAAAGTTTAGATGCAATAACAGCACTAGAAAAATTAGAATTTTCTTGCAATTCTAGCATGGGAAAGTCCTTTATGAGTCAAAAGCCAAAAGATGCACACAAAAATATACATACACACACTAGCGGTAAATTGCCAACTGAAAACAAGGCCGAAGCAGGCATTTGGCCTGGTGGTTAAGATGCCAGTTCGGATACCTGTGTCCCACAACAGAGTGCCTGTGCCTTGACCTGGCTCCTGATTCCGGGCTCGGGCTGCTGCAGACCATGGGAGGCAGCCGTGAGGACTCAAGATCAGATTTCTGTCCCCCACATGTGAGACTTGGATGAGGTTTGCAGCTCCTGGCTTCAGCAGCTACTTTGGCTACTGTGGGCATCTGGGGAGTAGACTAGAGGATGGACACTTTATCTCTTGCTCTCTCTGTCTCTGTTTCTCTGTCTCTCTTAAATAAAAACAACTTAAAAAAAAAAAAAGTAAAACTGAATATCTGATTCTACGTGGTTAAAAAACATTATAACAGGCCAGCGCCGTAGCACAGTAGGTTAATCCTCCGCCTGCAGTGCCGGCATCCCATATGGGTGCCGGTTCTAGTCCTAGCTGCTCTTCTTCTAATCCAGCTCTCTGCTATGGCCTAGGAAAGCAGGAGAAGATGTCCCAAATCCTTGGGCCCCTGCACCCACATGGGAGACCAGGAAGAAGCACCTGGCTCCTGGCTTCAGATCAGCGCAGTGCCATCTGTAGCAGCCATCTGGGGAGTGATCCACAGGAAGGAAGACCTTTCTCTCTGTCTCTCCCTCTCACTGTCTGTAACTCTACCTCTCAAATAAATAAATAAAATCTTAAAAAAAAGAAAGAAAGAAAACATTGTAAGAGGGGCAGGAACTGTGGCATAGTGGATTAAGCCTCTCCCTGAGGTGCTGGCATTCCATATGAGCATTGGTTCGAGTCCCGGCTGCTCCTCTTCTGATCCAGCTCTCTGCTGTGGCCTGGGAAAGCAGCAGAAGATGGCCCAAGTCCTTAGGTCCCTGCACCTTCATGGGAGACCTGGAAGAAGCTCTTGGCTTTGGATCTGCCCAGATTTGGCCATTTGGGGAGTAAACCAGTGGATGGAAGACTTTTCTCTCTGTCTCTCCCTCCCTCTCTCTCTAACTCTGCCTCTCAAATAAATAAGTAAAACCTTAAAAAGCAAAGGAAAAACAGTATAAGCAAATTGATAAGACAGAAAACTGCAAAAACTAATGACAACAATCACATTATGCCCAAAGGGCAAGTGTGTCACTTAGCAGGTTAGACTGCCACTTGAGACAACTGCATCCCATACTGGAGCGCCACCTCCAGTCCTGGCCACTCCGTTTCCAACCCAGCTTTGCGCTAGCACATCCCGGGAAGCGGCAGAGAAGACCTGGATGAAGTCAGTGGCTCCTAGTTTCAGCCTGGCCCAGCCCTGGCTGTTGCAGGCATTTGGAGAGCAAACTAGGAGACTGAAGATCCCTTTTCCTGTGTCTTTCCCTCTCATTCTCTCAGCTACTCTTCCTTTCAAATAAATAATCATTTTTTAAAAAGTGTTATACCCATAATATCTAGAAAGCATCTACAAATTACTATGGAAAATTTAACAACCCAAGAGAAATCAACAAGAAAAAGAGTAACAATCCAATAAGATTTACATAACAATTACGGGGCCAGCATTTTGGCATAGCTGGTTAAGACTATGCCTGGGAGGCTGGCATCCCACATGCTTGTTGGTTTGAGTCCAGCTGCTCCACTTATGATCAAGCTTCATAGTAAAGCTCCTGAGAATGCAGCAGAAGATGGTCCAAGTCTCCAGGACCCTGACCTGTGTGGGAGACCTCAAGGAAGCTCCCGTCTTCTGGCCATTTGTGGCCATTTGAGCTGTGAACCAGCTGGTGGAAGATCTCTCTGTCTCTCCTCTCTCTGTATTTGCCTTTCTTTCTTTCTTTTTTTTTTTTTTTTTTGTGACAGGCAGAGTGGACAGTGAGAGAGAGAGACAGAGAGAAAGGTCTTCCTTTGTCGTTGGTTCACCCTCCAATGGCCACCGCGGCTGGCGCACCGCGCTGATCCGATGGCAGGAGCCAGGTACTTCTCCTGGTCTCCCATGGGGTGCAGGGCCCAAGCACCTGGGCCATCCTCCACTGCATTCCCTGGCCACAGCAGAGAGCTGGCCTGGAAGAGGGGCAACCGGGACAGAATCCGGCACCCCGACCGGGACTAGAACCCGGTGTGCCGGCGCCGCAAGGCAGAGGATTAGCCTAGTGAGCCGCGGCACTGGCCCTGCCTTTCAAATAAATAAATCTTTAGGACAAAAATGTTCTTGAACATACAAACTTGGACCTCAAAATCCTTCTTTTAGAAATTTATTATAGAGACATCTTGCAAAAAATTATGTATAAAGATATTCAATATAGAATTGCTTAGATTTTTAAAGAAATATATTAATAATCTAAAATCTAAAGGAATATCCATCAATAAGGGAACTAGTTAAATAAAGAAAACTACTTTGTAAGACTACCGGATGCCAACATGTTGTGCTATCCAAAGATGCATTAATTGAAGCAAAAATATACAAAGATGCATTTCATTAAATAAAGCAAAAAATATACAGACTAGTAGAGAGATAGTGAGGAGGTTTTCATCGTGATTTTCTCAAAGAAAGACCCATATCTTAACCATAGTTGTCGGCTGCATAAAATAATTCTAGAAGGACACAGAAGCAAATTGGATTCCTAAAGGTTGCCCCCAAAGAGGAAGATTGAGATGGCTAGGCAAAGAGAATTAGAAATGATTCTTAATTATAACTCATCTCATAACTCTAAAATATTTATTTCAGTAATATAAATGTATATAAAAACATATTCTCAGTACTCAGATATCTGTCAGTTATTATTCCTTTTCACATGTAAGCCAGCAGCAAAGAGTTAATTTTCACATGTCACAGTCTGAACATTTAACAGATATTTGTTAGATTCTAGGACCAAGTACTGTTCCAGGCAGTAGGAATTATAGCAAAAAGTAAAACAGACAAAACTCTCTGCCTTCATGGAGATTATAACAAAGGACACTTGGATTCCAAAGGCCATTTTGATTCAAAGTTTCAAAACATAGTTTAATTTTAATGGCAGAAATCATTAAAATTAAAGGGCAGAAGTCATTAAAATTGGGGATAGATAACAAAGGAAGTAGAATTGTACTCCCTTTATTTTCTACCTATAATTCACCATATTCCCTAGGTTCCTCTCTGAAAAGAAAACACCCCTACTATGGAAACTCCAGGGGACAAGTAAGTATCTAATAAGGAAGGAAAACTATTCCAACCCAATTAGTCAGCAAGATACCATATTCTCTATTTCAAATATTACAAATACATACTTAACTGTAGTCTTTCTATGGACCATCTTTTGCAAACCACTAGACCACAGTTTTGTACAGTGAAATAAAAATTTCTTAAAATATATCCCAGAGGATTCTAAAGGTTCTTAATCCTTAATACCAATAGATACTCCCCAAATTGTCAATTTTGGTGCCACAATTTAGTACAAAACATACTGTGCCATATAATCATCACAGATGAAGGAAAATAATTTGATAATGATGTAATTATTTATAATTGTATTGTACACACCTGAAAATTTCCATTTATGTTCACAATGGATTAAAAAAACTATAATGGTATAATGTTCTTGAATGTTCAAGGTGAAAAACCAATGCTCATCAATATTCAAGGGATGACTGACCAGCTACATGCCAAATCATCTCTCTCCCTCTTCTCTCTCTCTTTCACACACACACACACACAACATAGCTTACAAACTGAAATGTCTACTGATTCCTTTAAACAGAGTCATTCTAGGAATCAATGCTTATTTAAACCCTACTCAGAATTCTTCCAAAATTCCCCTTCTGCAATGCTCAGATAGTCTGTTTATAAACTCTGTAAGTAAGCGGACTCTGGCAGCTTTTAAACAATTACTGTCAGTGCCCAGTGCATTTACAAAACATGACTTTGGGTTATTTCCAAATATCCAATCAGCACTCAAAGGATGAAGATTTGCTGCTATTGAGATACTCACTGGAATCTAACATAGGCCCCGAAGGCACTTCAAAGAAGACATGCAGAAAAACTCAAGGCAACAAAGTCATTGTCAGATCTCATTTCTTCAGACATTTAATCATTTAGCATTTACTAAGCACTCATTTGGCCTGGTACTAGAGAATATTTTCAGTGGTTAACCCTCGTTCAGATGCACAAGCTCTGGTGTGCTTGTTAGAAACAAAAAATAAAATCACTTTACTTTATAATCACACCTCATTTATGGCCTGCTAGAATTAGCTAGCCAAATGGCCGCCGATAAGCTCAAACAGTTTTAACACTGGGTTATTGGGGTTAAGGGTTAAGTCCCCATATGGGAGAACTAAATCAGCTCTGTTCCAAGGCCAGACCACATGCTTAGCTCCAGGCAGCCACTCTGTAAATATCTGCAACTGATCACAAACTGGGCAAGAGGGCAGGAATGGATTCACAAAACCCACCATCCACACACTGGAACAACTCAGCCTGCAGCCTCCTAGCGTGTACACAAAAATTCTTAACTGCAGCAGCACGTGTGTCTGCCTCACACGATTTAAGGATTATAGATGATATTAGTGATGATTATACACACCTCAAAGTGACGATCAATCAACTCAAAATACTCTTGCAGGGGCATAGAGCCAGAAAAAGAACATGCGAAATCTTTGATTCCCTGCTTTTCAAAATATTCTTGAAGGCGCAGAATAAGCTCATTTGTTATGAGCCAAAGATCTTCAAACTGTTCACTCTGAATGCGGTATCGTTCTGAGAGAAAACACAATAAGAAATGTTTAGTAACACACAATTACAAGCCGAACCTACTTCAACAATCACCAACCCTGACGTGAATACCAAAGCTAAAAGGAAAAATATTTTTAATCGTATAGATAAGACTTCCATGGTTTCATAAAAATATTTCCATTTATTGTAATTTTCTGCATCAACAACTTAACATTTCAAATTTAATTCCAAAGACAGGTGGTCACAGTGGAAATCTGTTGTCCTTCTTACTATGTATCTTACAGTAGGCTTTAGTACAATAAAAACATCCCAATTTAGGTCCTTTAAAAACCATTAAACAGTAAGACAACACCTATTTGCAAAAGTACAGCCCAGTCTGATTAGTTTATTTCAGGATATTATGCGAGATGAAATTTATTTTTTAGAAAGTTCCACATCATGAACACTGCAAACAGCATAAATACCCACAACAATGATTAAAGTTTCCTATTTTCCTGGTAGGTCTTTTATTTGAAGAAAGATTTTACAGTCAGACCCGTCCCTACACAAAAACTTTGCTTCCCTCTATTTTCTGAAACCTCAGCTCATAGATTCCTGGTCTATTCCCTACTCCAAATAATGTTGATAACATCGATGATGACACAGTGGCAGTAAAAACACCTATGAGAAGAGCAACTATTATTTGTTGGGTGCTAACCATGTATCAAGCACTGTGAGTGTGAGAGATCTTTTTTGTAAAAAGGGAAACAAAGCACAGAGAATTTCAGACAACTTGCCAAAGATCACAAAGTAAATTAAATGCCTGCACTAGAATTCATAATATACATTCTTCCCAACCCATCCAAATCTTGCCTATTCTTCAGGATCTGGCTCTAATCTCCTCTACCTAAGAAACCATGATTTCTGTACCACCTGCAGAAGCCCAACATGCATCAGATGCTGTCCTGAGCACTCTCATTTAAACCTAAACAGATCTATGGGGGGTGTGGGGGAGTGCTAGCTCAATTCACTGAAAGCCAATCTAATCACAAAAGCATTTTTAATTAATTTCCAAGGTCAACCAGCCAGTTAGTAACAGAGCATGGGCTGGAACTCTAGGCATTAATACGAAGATTAGCTATTAACTGTGACTGCCTCACTGTGTCTCTCAATATACAGAACTAATATTCCAAAATTCACTAGCCACTTCATTGATGATCAGGACTTATTTAACTTCTCAGATGATTTGTATTCATTCCTTTAAAAGGAATTTACACTTACTGACATCTGGAATTACATCTCTTTCCATTTAATTAACTGTTATTGAATATTTATCATTGACAATGTCATAAAAAAAGAAATGTTGCAAGTACAAAGATGAATTCAGTCTTTTTGTTAATGGAATTGGAGGATTGGGTAGGGTAGCAGGGCACATAGATATGCAAGATATTTGCTTATATTTCTCATGATACCTTCACAAATTCTATGAATATATTAGGACTTCAATTTGAAATTGATAGCCAGAATTCAAGAGTGTATCTCCTCCCATTTCTTTAGTCAGGGTAAGCCTCTCTTCTCTAGTGCTGTCCTATTATTCCCCTTGAAGCTTCCTCAGACATCCTCTCCCCATCCCCACCCCCCGTCTTACTCTGGATGCTGGCTTCTACCCCTGATGTTGATCAGATGTTTTCTTCATTTCTCCCCACCAAAGATACTAGGATCAAAGTCAGGGACAGGGTAACTTCATGAGGTACCGCCAAGACAGATATTTGATTCCAGCTCAGTGCGGCCTCCAGGTCCTCACCATTTTTCTCTCTTGGGTCAGATGTCTGGCTTTTAGCTCAGGGCTACCTCCAGTATCCCATCTTTCTTTCTGAGCATCTGTCCATCTGTTGCCCTGAGTCACAATCCATAACTATACCATGCTATTGGTTTCCTGAAGGAAGAAACTGAGGGTTACCAGCAACATCTCTTCTTGCAACTTGAGATACCCCAGATCACTGGCTTCATGTCTGGTTGTTCCAAGCCACATGGATACAACAGATGAAGGCGAAGCTGCACACTGCAGCAATCTTGGCCCAAAGGGCAGCAAGAAGTGGTGGTGACTCTGAACCACAGAGCCTAGATGTGGTTGTGGCAGGCATGAGTCAGAGAGAGATCTTCTGTCCATTGGTTCACTCCCCAAATGGCCACAACGGCCGGTGCTGGGCCAGGCTGAAGCCAGGAGCCAGGAGCTTCATGCAGGTCTCCCGCATGGGTGCAGGAGCCCAAGCACTTGGGCCATCTTCCACTGCTTTCTCAGGCACATTAGCAGGGAACTGAATTGGAAGTTGAGCAGGAAGGACTCAGACCAGCACTCATATTGGATGCCAGGACTGCAGACAGTGGCGTAACAATCTGGCCCCTTAAGTTTTTTTATTAAAAGGCACATATACATGAAAGGGAATGAACACATGAAGGCAGAAATATCAGAATTGAAGAACTGTAAAGGGTCTTGTCCAACCTTATAAAGCCTGGAGGGAGCTCTTCTCTGAGGCTCTTAGTAGATACATAGATAAACTGTAAAATTTATTATATTAAAATAAAACCATTAATAGGAAGTTATCTCATTCAACTATAATTTTTAATAGAAATATGTCACAATATATTAACAAGAGACAGACATTTAAAAGAACTATATCAACTGCTCCCAGGGGTAAAAAAATATACATTGCAAGTCAGTAAAGGAAGAAGCCATGGGGATATTGGTAGGAAGAGCATTCCAAGCCAAGGCAACTTTAAGTACAAAGGCAATAGACCAGTTTATGTTAAGTCACCATAGAGACTACAAGAAAATTTGGAAACAAGGCACATGCAGGTATGTCCAAGGCAAGCTTATCCACCAAGAATTGATGGGAAAATTTATCAGGATTTACCACTGGGGAAAAACAGATGGCATTCTCATTAGGATACCCCATGGTACCCTTGGCTGGCCAAAGGCTAAATTTGGCTGAATTGTTGGGAAAGGCAAACTCAATTACAACCTACCCTGCCATGGCACAGGATGTGCTGGGCTTAGTCCTCACTGCCAGCTTACACTTGGCATGTGTGCCATAGGAAGGAAGGCAGGGATGTTGTGGACTGGCCAAGAAAGGCAAGTGTCCCAAACTTTTCCACCAAGGAGGGAGAAGAAGTATTTTGTCCCAGCTAAATAAAAATGGAGCTCCTTCCCTTTTCCTGGCAGACAATCAAATCTCTAATCTAAAAACTGAAACGGGGGCAAGTATAAGATTTTCCCTTCTCCTAGGAAAACATGAACTTTGTGAGCAGGGGGCCTATGAACTCTCTACGATACCCAGCTCCATCAAAGTCTTCTCCTATCTAAAAGATAAGAGTAAAGTAACCAGAAAATCGTGGCAGTTGATTCAAAGAAAAAAGACAAATCAGAGGGAACAAGTTAGCTTTGTGAAAGAGGTAATTCAGGACTATCCTTAGTTCATACTTTCAGTAAGATTCAAGGTAACACTATATAAAAATAGAGCATTCAATGGTAAGTACCAGAGACAATGGTGAACACCACATACTTAATCCTGTCCTCATCCTAGTGAGAAGGACAGCAATTAAGTAAAGAACAGATAAAACAGAAACTATAAAAAGGATTATGATACAGACTTTTTCAAAGGCACTGTGATAAAGACTAAGGGGTATTCTTTCTTGAGTAACTATGGGCAGGTAAGGACACATTGATGTGATGTCAGCATTGGTACTAATAGTAAAAATGATGGAAATAATATTAGCACCTAAGATTTACCTAGCACTTAAAATGTACTAAGAAATTGCCACATGCTTTTTAGGGCTTACCTCATTTGGCTCATGCATAATACTGTCATACTATTTTACTGCCATTTTCTACACAGAAACAAGCAATTTTTCCAAAGTTAATCAGATAAATCATAAACCAGAGCTCAAATATGCACTATCAGTCTGAACCTAGATCCCACATTGCTAATCATTTTGTGCATAAAGTTAGGACCTTAAGGACGGTAGGCTTAGTTCAGAAGAAAGAGCAAACACAAAGTCTCACATGGAAAAAGTGGGACATGAACTAGGAACCAAAAGAAGGCCAGAGTGAGGAAGACTCCATTGATTTGGGCTCTGAATTATATTAAATAAATTGAGCTTTGACATTAATTTTTAAAGTTCTATGAAATTTTTGTTTATAATTATAATTATATAATCACTATAATTATAAAACAAAAATTATATAGACCATATTGAAGGAATTCTCTTTGTGAATATTCATAAGAAAAACATCATCCTCAACTCAGCATCAAGAGACTGTGCATCTGCTAAACAGATTATCTGACTTTATATTTTGGACTTTCTGAAAGAACTACAATACTTTCTCATTAGTTTAGGTTGCTAGCATCTTAACAATGGTACAGTATGATATCTGAGTGTTAATCTTATTCTTACCTTCATTTACTTCCTGCCTTTATTTTCTCTGTGTGTGTGTGTGTGTGTGTGTGCTCCAACTATTTATTCTCTCCTTTCATATTTTGGAAACTTTTAAAACTCTTTGAAATCCTTTAAGGAAAAAGAGGAATGGCACAAGAAACAGAGAAAGAGACAAAAACAAACAGAGGCAAGATCAAGAAAAGTACAGAAACAGAAGTGTAAAAGGGTGGGCAAGGAGAGGGGCAGTGTTTGTTGCATACAGCAATAAGACACTGTGTGAAGGTAAACTAGTATAGCCATTGTAGAAAACAGAATGGAGATTCCTCAGAAACCTGAAAATAGATCGACCATATGACACCGCCATCCCACTCCTGGGAATCTATCCATAAAATGAAATCAAATCAGCAATGAAGAGTTATCTGTACCCCCATGCCTACTGCCGTTAAATTCACCCAGAAGTCCAACAACCAAAGAATAGATAAACAAACTGTGGTATATATACACTATGGAATATCATTCAGCAGTAAAAAAGAATGAAATCTTGTCTTTCACAACAAAATGGATGCAATTATTCTTAAATGGAAACAATTATTCTTAATGAAATGTCA